CAAGTGTATTTACAATAGTAAGTTTGTTCATCATGCAAATTTTCCTTTCACCGTGATAATGTAAAATTAGTTTTTCAAAATTGAAACTCAAATGATGGGGGGGGGGTAGAAAAAAGCTTGAAACCGTAATATAGACTTTTTTCGTGTTAACTACTTGTTCAACAGATTCACTTGTATCTTGGTTCATAATGAATTCAAACTTTTATGAGTGTCTGGCATTTAGCTTGGTGGTGAAGAATAAGCCTGGGACTGCAAAGGTCATAAGTTCCAAAGGTGTCCAGGTTTAGGTGACCAGGAACTTTTTTTTTGCAAACTGGAAGTATTTCTAATCCAAAATATGTCGGCTTATAGTTTGTCTGCTTATGTTTTGTCGGCTTTGTTGCCAATCGTATAATTGATTTTTTGTACGCAATTTGCAATGTAGTTGTTTTCAGTATTTTACTAGCCTTGATTTTTATATTTTGCTGTTTTTGTTTTTTATTTCGATTAAAAATTATCTTTGGCTTAAATGAATTCGGCTTATATTTTATCGGCTTTGTGTCCTAATTTGGAGTCCTTTTAAAGGAAGCATAAATTTAACGCTTCATTCTGGATTGCACAAAATGCCAAGTTTTTCAGAATAATTTTTATACTTCAAAGTTTTTCATGACAGCTATTATATTTTCAATTCTACTGGAAATTATGCAATTTTCGTCGGCTAAGTGGTCGATTGTTGTATATTTTTGAATTTTCATTAATTGCCCTGGATTGTGTTTCTGGGCGTGTTTTCCGTAGATAACAATATTCCTGACTAATTGAATTTTTTAAGTTGTGGTTTTTGAAGTTTTTTTGGCCTTTTTTCCTGTCTGCTAGCTTGCACTGCTATTTTTGTGTTGTATCGCAAGTAGTGCGAAACTCCGCTTTTCCTCTGTGATGTTTAAGCAGTATGAACTTCGCTAGAGCGCATTTATTTTTGCATATTCCGTTAGTGGCGTTCCTTTGCGTATTTATAATGGCCAGTAATCGGAGAAAAAAGTAAGTTTTTGGCCTGAAAAAGTGTTTTTTTTTTAAATTTGTTTAATGGCCAGAGCAGTTTAGAAAGTAATTGCAGAAACCTTCCAATTTTGTCTGATATACGCATAAACCAACTTTTATGCACGTTTTCCATCTGTATTTTCTGACAATCACGCAGTTTTTGTTCCAAAATACTGAAAAAGCTTTCAGCTTAACAGGATTTTATCCGCGCATGGTCAAGTTTGGCAGGTTTTTAATCACAAACTCCAGTTCACTTGTTTTTTTTTAAAAAAAAACTATTTTGCTGTTTTTAGTGCAAACCAACGCATAAAAATATGTTTTTGTGTAACTTTTTTAAAATTAAATTAGAGCAAAAAAAGTTTAAAAAAAGTATTTAATTGGTTTCCGCTCCCTGATAATGGCATGTTAAGTTCCACAAGAGTACAAGTAAAAAGCCAAGACCAATTCAAACATGAGATATACATATACTATTAGTTTACGTATCTTACTTTGAAAGACCCCACGATCATACTTGGGATTGTACTTGACTATACGCTAAGTAAGGGGAGGATAATTTTTAATAAGATACTTCAATAAAATAAATTTTTTCAACCAATTAGAATGCAGGAAATCTATAAATTTCAAAATCAAAAAAATGCTCTAAATTGCAGCTCTTATTAAACTAGAACTTAAAGAAACATAATCTGCCTTGTTCGAAAGACAAAAAAGTCTATTTTGTTAGAGGGATGGGCATGCTTGTAGATACCGTAGGTGGGGATTGTTAAGTAGATAGGTCTCAAACCTGTAGCATGACCCCGGGTGTTCGTGTGTCATAGCATAACCCCGGTTGTTCGTATGGTTTTTTAAACTTCAGGTACATTTTTTTACCCAAGGTTCATGCTGACCTGTGCACAATTAAGATCTTTCAGGAGTGTTTGAAATAGATCCTTCGAAAACGTCGATTCTTTGCTGACTGGGTGCCGGTGGGAACATCAATGGAAGATCTCTGTCTCGACAGAATTTTTCGTAAAGTTCTCCTCCTTCGCGGATGTAACGCGACGAGAGCAGCTCCTTTGCTGCCATAACTAATATAAGAAACCAATTTAGTTATGTACACTTTATAATCAGAATGGTAATTCAAGGTTCAGTTTGGTCGAATTTAGATAACGAGTTTAGCTATGTTTGATTGAACCTATACGGATTATATTTGTGTTTACACATAAATCACAGCGACGGATGCCGGACATCAAGCCTAAGGGATTTCAAGCCGAACATTTTCTCGAAAAATCACACAATATGATTATTTTCAAGAATTTCTCAATTTCACCATCTTCATTTTTTTTATAAGCGCCTGGTCCTGCTTAATGCAGGATCAACCGTTGGGAGTGTAATTTCGTCCGTTTCTCCGCAGCCGGGTCCACCCTGAGGAGGCGGATGACACTGGGACCCCTCCAACTGTGACCGAAGTGGGACTTGAGCGCACGAACCTCGTGTAGGATACGCATGCCTTACCCCAGTCGGCCACGGATGCCGCCATCTTTATTTACTTTACAGTTATTGGCTTTTTCATAAAATTTCGGCCTCAAATTGATGTTAAGGAATATTAAAAATTAACACATTGAGGAAGGGGTTTTTGATTGGACGAAAGGGCTTTTCATAATTTCGGCCTGAAGTCACTTCGACTTGAAGTCCCGTCGGCCGGTTGTCTTAGACCCAATAGCGACAGACCTGTCTAAGACACGATAAAAAGCATACGGTTAAAAGTGTGCGTGGAAGGCAGTACAACAGCGCCGAAATTTTTTTTGAAATCCTCTTTTTACTCATCCAAAATTACATCGAAAATCGTAACAAATAGAAATTTACTTTAATTGGCGAAGAAAATGAGGAATATATATGCTCGAGGTGTTTTTTTTCAGACCAATTTTAGAAAGAATTTTTGCTCCCTCGGGGAATCGGTCTTCTCTGGATCTGCAAGCGACCCGGTGAGTGTGCTCACCACTATAGTAACCTGAAACCAGTCTGTCGATACTGCTCGCTTATAGTTCAAAATCGTTCCAAATTGAATTGAGACAAACTGATTGGTCTTAATAATTCCATCTATGACTCAAAAATTAACACTTAAATTTTGATATTATAGGCCCAAAGTTCATAGTTTGTCAATGTTTAATTTACCAAAAACTATTCGAAACCAGTTGAAGGGCATTCGGAACTCTCAAGGCTTTGCCTTGATACGATTAGTCTGGTTTTAATCAATATCTCTTTCGTTTTTATTTTCAAGTTAAAATTGCTTATCATAAGTTTGGATGAACAAACATTTGACGGCCGATGTGAGCAGTATTACCCCTGAATAGACCAAATGAACAATCTCCCCTTAAAATTAAATGGCAAATCTAAACAGTAAGGCTTGCATGTATTATGCTAAAATCTGATTGGCTGAAAATGTTACTTTTAACCAAGTGAACGATCTCCCTAATTGATTCAAGAAGAAGATTGGTCATTTCCGCCCCATTCAGTTTCGAAATTGACTGCATTTGGGACTGAAATGACTGGGTTTTTGGGGCGGAAATGACTGGTCACGGACAACTTCAACAGCATACCGGTCCCACAATTAAATATATATAGTTCAAACAGCTTACTCAATTTAGGGACCAAGTTAACATCCGCCCTCATCCCCCATTACTTTTAGGGGTAATGATGTTAAGTTGGTTTTGAGTTTGGATTTTCAGCCAATCAGAATAGAGCATTTTACATGAAGCGGTTAGCAAAATTAATTAAAATTGAACGCCGATGTGGATGATCTTAACTTGATCTATTTGGGGGAGGAGGAGGAGGATTTAACATGATTCCAATTTAGTTTATAGTTTTACAATTCAGGTCGCTAACTGAGTAACAATAATAAATTTACAAAAAGGAAAAAGATAATACTTCACAAATCTCTTGTCCCTCTTTGTGATCCAAAAGAAAATTATTTTATTGATTTTTTTCAAAAAAAAATTATGAAAGCATTCGACAAGTGTTTATCGATGAAAGTTTTTTTAACAGTCCACGAGCTGAATTTGTCTTACGGTTAATAGCGGGATTACATTCTGAAAATTTTTTGAGCGAGCTTTTTGTATTTGATATACCGTCGTATTTGACCAGAAGGTCAGCTATCAAGTTGATGAAAATTCTTAATTTCAAATGCAAAATTTCAAAGAGCTGTTAGTTGCAGAGGAGCTAAGCTCTTTAATTTACGTAGACAAAATTCCCTTTAACTTCTATCTTATTTAGATTGGTTTTGTACCCGCTACGACTGAACAATATTTTAAAGATTGATGCAGAACTCGGACCTTATGTTGTTAACTTGTCTAGACAATGCTATTAATCTGCTGCATTATGTTTATTCAAACTAAACCAAATTTTTTTCAATGTTTTCTTTTATATTTTCAATTTTTATTATTTTTTCACTTTCATTGAAGATCATAATTTTTGTATTGCATTTAATAAAACGGACAGTGCTTTGTAAACCAAATGTGCTCGTTAACTGTCCCCTCACTGTTTCTGGTGCTTCATTTTAAATTTTTTTCGATATGCATATCTACCATTAACAACGAGAGATAAATAACAAAGAAAAATTGGAAAAGTTTTGCCTATTGATCCAGTTATTTCTTCTTTGCCTTTTGATCCAGATAGGGTTAATTTGAACAGAGAAGTGTCCAGCATAAACTGTTCCACAAATTCAAAGAGCTTTAAGGCCATCTAATTTTTCTTCGAAGTTGAAAAGTTGAAGGTTTTTGAAGAAACAAGTCAGTTTTTTTTCAGTTTCCTTGCGTTCATTTCTCTTTTCCAACTGTCAGTTGGCTATGTTTATTAATGCAGTTTTTTGCTTAACTTTGAGTCACTCACATGGTCTGAAAATTATATATATTTATGTTTATATGTTTTGTTCTTCGTAGCTATATTTTCTTCTATAGACTGGAGCTGTTGGCCGTTGTTGTTAATTGTAGTGACATTTGTGTTCTGTTCAGGTGGATGAGTGTGACTTCATAGAAGTGCGTGTGGCTGTGGTGGGCAATGTGGATGCGGGCAAGAGTACTCTACTGGGAGTGCTCACTAATGGCATCTTGGACGATGGAAGAGGCAATGCTAGACAGAGTCTCTTCAGGTATTATACACGATTCGGTGCTAGCTCAACGGTGGAGGCGTGCTGAAAAAAGATTTTTTTTTTGGTATGCGGAACGAGAATTCTTTGCGACACTATTCAGTGTAAAATGACTTAAATGCAGTGAGGCTTAGTTGTTTTGCATGCTTACCAGATTCGAGACGCGAACTGTTTGTAAAAGGCTGGCGGTTATCGGCGAAGCACATGGGCCTTTGAAAAAATTTGCAATGCGGTGGGTTCCAGAACAAGTGCTAACTAATCTTCATGTCGGGTATCGAATCCCTTTAAGAGCTACTTTCAACGTTTTATCGCTTGTCATTTTCTCCTCTGTGTTATAACTTTGAATGGTTCATTTGAAAATATTTTTTTTTGAAATCGTCTAGCACGATAATAGTAATTGTGGTTGGAACATTATATGCTGTTTGTCGGGCAACAGTTTCTGGTTGCTGTTATTTCACAAGCAACGCTTGTATGATAGTTTGAACTCCCTTTTTTCCAACCTAAGTCGCAAATATTTTTGTTCATTTTGAAAATGTTCATTTTGATCAATAACCAGCTATAAAGTACAGCCAATGCTAATGTTATTAACCCAGTCTATTATATTACAAGTTTCACTTTAGCTTCAAACTATCATGGATCTGTAGCGTAGAGGTAGGGAAGGAGACCCGCAACAAAAAAGAGGGTTCGAACCTGGGTAGGGTCGGAGGGTTTTAATGAACTTTTTCCTATACGAATTAAAATGCGTCCGCTCTATAAATTGAGTCATGTTAGATGATAAATTTCTTTTTTCAAATTGACTGCTAATGCGTCATAATTGGCTTGCGTCACTTAGCAATTATGTAGACTCAAAGTTTCACTCGTCCAGTTTTTCTCAGTAGCGTTATCGGTCATGTTTTTGCTTGTGAAGTGCAACTTCGTCTCTGTGTAATAAATGTTAATTATCGATCCAAAAAATGTCTCCTGACGTTTTTGTATTATTTCAGAGTTATTATAAGACCACAACTGTTAAACCCCATTTTTACCTTCATCTGAAAACTTAGTCGGTTCTTCTGTAACATGCTCATTACGCATGCTCTTTTTCTCTCCCCCCCATCCCCTCACCTCACATGAGCATCGATTTCATGGTATAACGAGTGGTTTTACAAGATTGAATATGAATACCAAGTATGTTTGTTATGGCCTTATTAGTCCGCGTGCCAAATGTTACAACAATTCGACAATGTGAACAGAAAAATTACTCCATAAAATTTGCAGGTGGGAGAAAAGGAAAAAGAGCCGCGGAGGGTTGTCATTTTACGTTATCCACTTTTTTCGAACCTAAGTCGCAAATAAAGGTGTCAAATTTTTGGTGGTACAATTGCATTTTATAGCTGGTCAATTTTATAGCTGGTTAGCGCATTGCATTATCTTTTCCTATCTGGTTTATTGGTGGCTAGTTCCTGTTTGATGAAAAACAGGTATTATGAAAATGTATGTGATTTATTATTTTTTTAAAAATATTATTTGAGACGCTTATGAAACTTTTTGCACTTATCGCAAGAAATTCTTATTTTTCTTGAGAACTAGTTGATCGATTTTCCAATAGAGATACTGGTTTTTACCTATGTGCGTCTATTACGCTAGTCTCTTTTTTATTTCTCTGACCCTTCTATGATCTTGGAAAATATCGATGGGGGATTTTTTAACCTATAGAGATACTGGTAGAGATACTGGTTTTTGCCTATGTGCCTCTATATTCCGCTAGTCTCTTTTTTTCACTGACCCTTCTATGATCTTGGAAAATATCAGTGGGGGTTTTTTACCCATTTTTTTGAATTATTTTCTCTTTTTTTTCTAAGCTAGCATGACAAGATTAAGGTTTCAATCAAAGAAGAGTATTCTGGGAATCTCCCCTGTATTGGTTTTTATACCTTAATTTTTTGTAGAAAAGACTTGTTTTGGCCTTAGAAAATGTCCAAATTTTGGCCTAGGAAAATGTCTTAGAAAATTGTCTTGCCAAATCTGAGGTTAAAGGTTTAATCGAAACAACAGATTTTGCGAATCTTCGTTGCACAACTGGTGTCGCCCCATTTTTAATGAAAAAAGTTATTGCTTTAGTTATTGTCCTTTTTGACTGCTCTCAAAAACGCCCTGCCAAATCTGAGATAGCATTTTAATCCGAAAAGCAGGGTGAAGAAACTTTTTCAGTGCATAAGCAGCTACGCCCTAAATTCTGTAGAAAATTACATAGGATTTTACACGTGTTTTAGTTTTATATTTCGAGACCATTTTTCGGAGACTTTTGTCAAAAATTACTCTGCCAACTCTGAGTTAAATGTTTCAATCGGAAAAAGTGCTAAAAACATTTTGCTTCAAAGCGGCAACGTCGTGGTTTTTGTAGATAAAAAATGTTGAATTTGGTTCTTTTGGAAAGTGTTTGATTTACCAGAAAACTACGGTGCCAAATCTGAGATAAAGAGTTCAATGGAAAGAACAAGGGATCCGCTATGAAATTTCTGTAAGGAATTCGCTATGGACTCTGTAAGGAAATAATTGAGCTTTTCACATATTTTTGGACTTAATTCAATTTCCCCAAAATGATCGTGTCAATTCTGAAAAAGCGAAATTAATCAAACGGAGATAAAATCTTCTTGCAAAAGCTTGTTGTCCGTACTTTTGTTGATATTAGTCAGCTATGGACTTGGTAAATGTCCTATTTTTGACATTTTGAAAATTGCCATATAACTTTACCATCAGTACATTTATCAACCAGTTACCTCCAGCTTAAGTTAAGCTGGGCTCCTAGTGTTTAACTATTGCGTTTAACTAGCGTTTAACTTGTTCAGGGGCGAGTAGGTTATACTATGTGGCTTATGGGGTATTATTTCAAGAGATCGGAAAAGATGATTTAATGTTAATTAACGAAAAGGCTTCCTGTGAAAATTTTCCAGAAAAATCCCGCAATCTGATTGGTGCTGTGATGTATAGATTCATTTTTCAAGTTCAATTCAAATTCCTTTTTGCAATTAACGAAGCGCAAATTGCTGGAAAAAACATGATCGACTTCTTGTTTCGAAAGTGGAATGTTTCCAGTGGTGTTAAAAAGCTTACATGTGATCCAGTTTCTAAAATTTGGTTAATGTTATCAAATAAGTATTAATCATACAGTGTTCTTGAAGTTCGAATAGCTTTCAAGTCATGCATTTTGTCGTCGAAAATGATAAATTGCTTAGAAAGTTGCGAATTATTTTTTTCCAGTTTTCCTTGAGTTTGTCAACCTTTTTCCAACGCTCTGTTGACCAATGTTTTGTTGCTGTGTTTAGACACAAGCACGAGATGGAGACTGGCAGAACTAGTTCAGTGGGCAATGACATTCTCGGATTTGATCAGATGGGACAAGTCGTGAACAAGTCAGATGGACACGGTCAGTCATTTTTGGAGCCTTATATAGTGGTTTCCATACAAGAGATATGGAAACCTCTCCAATTGCTTCAAAGTTACATTAAGTAGAACGTTCAAATTTTAATTTGAGATAATTTTACCATATATTTGCGTATAGGCAAGTATTTGTTCACTTGTTGAAAAGCCAAGCATCCGTGAATCTTGAACATGTTCACGCCAAATGGTTTTTATTAAAGTGCTCTTTTGCAGAGTGCCTACAGCTAAGAGCTCCATTGATTTTTTATTCGGAATGTCACAAACCGCCAGCCCTATTCTGCTCGATCTTCTGTGATAATTTGCATAATTGGCTTCGGACATATCTCTCATGAAAAAGAAATAATTGTCTTCTAAAAAGTTCCGATATATGAGAACAAATAAGAACAGCAGTGAGTGAGATGCTTCTAAGACGCAAATGATTTCATTTAATTCTCTTAAGCGTCTTTTTAACCAGCATTACGGAACAACCGTTTCGGAAATCACCGTTTGCAGAGCCATAAACTGTCGGAGTGACGTTGATTAAGAGTAATCAACGTAGTGAAGACTCTTATATAGGTCTTGGTGATTTTTTTCTTTGTTTTTTTTTCAGCAAATTTTTTTAAAATGCTTTATTAACTACAGATGTGCATTCATACATATTAATGTATTTATGAATGCATCTAGGTGTATATGCACTTTTTGAGTTCAATTGAAATTCATCTGCTGAAAGTGACGTAAATAGCACTCTCCAAATACGAATGTGGGAATGGCGCAAAAAAAGGTGAAAATTTTCTATTTTTGAAAGTGGAATTTAATTTTTAGTTTTCCAGCGGAATAAAATTTTTCTATTGATCCAGTTTTCTCAAGTTGGGTTAATGTTATCAGAAAAGAGTTAATCATAAATTGCTCTAAAAATTCAAAGAGCTTAAAGAGCATCTATTTTTTTTCTTTGAAATTCGAAAGTTCAAACGGCTTAATGGATGTCTATTTCTTACTTTGCAATTTGAAAAAAAATTTCAACCAAGTCAGTGTTTTTTTTCTGTTTACTTGCGTTTATTACTCTTTTCCAACTGCCAGTTGGCTATAATCTTTAGTGTGAGTGTTTTTATCTTAATGGAAATCAGGTTTTGCAATGTCCTATATTTATTATGACATCGCAGGATTATTAACTAGACGAGCTGTGTCATTTAATGTTGAAGTCACGAACAAATTTGTTTCGCCTAAATTGCGTCAGTTTAACTTTGCCAAATAATTTATGGTCATTTGAAGCGCTAATGTGGATATAGAAGAAAACAAAAACGTGAAGTCTGATGCTAGATTTAATAAGAGTCGGTTAACGTAGTTAAGACTCTTATACAGATCGTGATGGCTTTTCGTTTGTTTTTTTTTTCAGTAAAATTCCTTGTTTGTTCAGGCTCAAATTTGATTTTTCGTGGTTTGAATTTTAATTCTTTTGTATGTTCTGTTCATTTCTTTTGTTAAAATGAAGGCAAACTTCGAAACTTGATTTTAATTTTGAGTTTCCACGGAACAAATTTTTCAGTGAAATTCCAAAAACAAGTAGCAGTCTTCAAATACGAACGTCAAAAATGAGCGAAAAAACGTAAACGAACTCTGGTTTCGAAAGTGAAATTTAATTTTTAGATTTTCTAGCGGAATAAAAAATTATTCATATTAATCCAGTTTTTTGAAATCAAAAAAGCCCCCATTATAAATTGTTCTTGAATTTCAAAGAGCTTTAAAGTCATTTATTTTTTCTTTGTAATTCGAAAGTTGAAATTTGTCAAAAAACAAGTCAGGATTTTTTCTGTTGATTAGTTTTCCAACTGTCAGTTGGCTATGTTTTTTTAGGAAATTTTTTTTTTAAATACTCAGATGTGCATTCATACATGTTAATGCATTTATGAATAGCGGGATATGCATCAAGTTCCATTAAGTGGAGTTTTCAGTTGACACGCAATGTATTTTGTCGCTTCCATTTTCTATAATTAAATGTGAACAAATCAGACCGTTTCCAGTTATTTCAGTATTGGATGCATAATTTTGTTTTGAAATTACTCATCACTAAGAAATTACAAAATGTTTTTTTTTTAATCTTTTTCAAAGTTATTCTTCGTTTCTTTTTTTTCTGGAATGAACTTAGTTGAATCTAATTGACTAGAAGGCAGAACTTTAGTTGGCGCGCGCATTGTTCCTTAAGTCTATCTTACAATTTCATACAATTAGCTGCAAAGAAATCAGACACAGGCTCTGTCATTTTTTACATTGGAGGTATAATACAATTTAGTAGAAACACGTAGAAAATGATGAGCACTTCAATGTTGATTTTTTCTCATTTGTTTTTCTTCAAATCTTTCTTGTATGAACTTCGTTGAATTCTAAATAACTAGCGAGCAGATTTTCATTTGGCAAGCATCGTGTCTTAGGCTATCACTTTCAATATCAGACAGTTTTTAAGTGTTGTAAACGTAGTTCAGACATGTATTGATGTCTTGTGATTTTTTCGTTTGTTTTTGCAGGAAAAAACTTAAAAAGATTTAATAATTGAAGTGGAAAATAAAAAGTATTTAAGTGCTCGTTGCTTGAGGGTGAGGCAACATTACCCAGCCCAGAAAAATAACCAAAAAAATTGCATGTAGTTCTTAAGCAGGGGCACAACAGCGGTTCGCCGTGATGAGCTGTACAGCTCGTATGTTGGTCCTATCCTTCGTGGATAAATGATCTTAATAAAAGTTTGCTTTACTGATTTTCGTTTTGAATGTCCCAAGCGATATGTTTTCGATTTTAAAAATGGAGCATAATAATGTATTTTTCAATGCATTTTCAGATTTACGTGACACTGAAAGTGGCTTCTAAAAAACAGGAAACGATGGTGCCGAGTGTAAATTTAATGAAGATTGTTACACAAAATGAATTTTTTTTATCAAACTCTGAATTTCAAAAGTGAAAACTTTTTCGAATTCCGCTAATTTTCCATAATTTTGCTCTTATGAAATATATTGAATATTATCGAAATCAATTCAATACTTTCTGATTGAAAAGTCAATGGACACAGCGAAGACACTTATTGGTGTCGTTTGATTTTTCATCTTTTTTTAAACATAAACACCTAAAATCTCATCTTGCTCAAATTTAGATCTGGTTTTCAATGATTTTTAGTGTCAATGATAAAATTTTCTTGAAATTGAAGAGCTTTAATGTGATGTACTGGTTTCTTCGAGTTTTCGATTTTTTTCAGGGACGTTAGAAAACGGGCTTTTTGATCGCCTCATGTTCCTCGGGCTTAATACTGGATTATAATTTGTACCTAAACCTTGTAATTGTCTGGTTTCGAGTCTGAAACAGTTTATTATTATTTATTATAATTTCAAAATTGAAGAATATGTTTGTGTTTTTAGGCAGCGTGGATTGGCAAGTGGTATGTAGACGTGCCTCCAAAGTGGTCACCTTCATAGACTTGGCCGGACACGAGAAGTACCTGAAGACTACCATATTTGGAATGACAGGACACCTCCCAGACTTCTCCATGCTTATGGTATGTATATTCCAAGAAGACTCGCAAGGGCAACTGGCGAATTGGTCTCGTACATTTCATTAAAAACATATATGGCAGTCATAATATATGTTTTGTATTATCATTATCATCTTACATCTTTGCTATATTCGAGTGTTTTTTTTTATTAAGCGACCACTTAGAAGTAATTCAAGCTCAATAAGCTCAAAACTTTGCAATTTTGTATAATCAAATGTGAGGCTCAAGAAAAAGATATAAAGATTTTTTAAACGCGTTAATATTATTATTAGAATAAGACAATAGTTAAATGTTAGTGAAATGATTTTAAAATTAGTCTTAATTACACTACATACCAAAAGAGAAGGAAGCAACTATCATGTGAAACTTATCTTCATTTTCAAATAGCGAGCGTAGTGTGTTAGTTTGACTCTAATTTTTTTTCCAATTTAACTCGCAAATAAAAATACTCATTTGGTGGTTCTTTTGCTATAATCACGGTCTGCAGCATTGGAAATTTCATAGCATCTAATCTCTGCTTTATTTGTGGCTTAAGTTTGACGATTGATAAGCGACCGAGAAGGACGCGAGACTCCCAAACTCGAAGTCGGATGTTCGAATCCGACTCGCTGCAAAAGTCTTCCTAATTCGAGTCTTATTTCTGTTTTTTTTTCGTTTCTTATTTGTATAGCTGCTTTTTTGTCGGTTTATCGCTAGTGTTTGTGAAGTGCAGCTTCGCCTCTGTGTTTATTTTGTACTTGACTATTGACTTTTCGGGGTTTAACATTTGAAGTTCAATTCAATTGCGTTTGCCGAATGGTAGGCAAACTACGCTCTCTACAACAATATAGAAAATGTCGCAAAAAGTGAATGAATTCTGGTTTCGAATGTGGATTTTAAATTCTAGATTTCCCTGATGAATGAAAAATTTCCTTTTCACATGGTTTCTCAAATTTGGCTAATTTTCCATATTTTACGTGTAGTTTTTGAGATTAATGAACGTAGTGAGTACTCTTTTATAGGTCTTAGTGATTTTTTTTAAAATTTGTTCTTAAAATTTGTTCACGCTTAAAATGAGTCTTAAAATTTGTTCACGCTCAATTTTTTTTTGCAGCTCGACTTATGGTTTCTTTTTCAATTCAAGTCATTTCTTTTGTTAAAAGGCAAAGTCCACTATCGAACAGCAAAAATTTTAAGGTCTCGAAAAACGTGATCCACTTCTAGTTTCGAAAAGGAAAAGATAATATGTTATCATAGGTGGTAATTTTGAGTTTCGTGCGTGTATTGAATTTGAGAGCTATAATGCATAATATAGCCTTTTCATTTTCAATCAATTGTACATACTATAAAATAGTTTTTGTAATTACATTACTCTGCCAAATGAAATGCTATTCAAAAATTCAAATTGTACGCTTGTTTTGCCAAAAAATTCGGCTTTTGAAATAAATTATAAATAATGTGCGAAGTATAACAAAAAGTGATCCAGCCACTGAAATTGAACCTAACACCTTTTGTAATATATCACCAACGAAAATTATTTATCAGATTTCCCAGCGAATTAAAAATTTTACCTATTAATTCAGGTTTCTCAAATTGGGTTAATTGTGTCAAAAGAGCACCAATCATAAATTGTTCGTGGAATTCAAAGACCTTAAGGCTTAAATTTTTTTCTCTTGCAAGTTAGTTTTGTTTCCTTGCGTTCATTACTCGTTTCCAACTGTCTCTTGGCTATGTTTCCTAGAGCTAGTTATCAATATTTTCTCGCTTATGTTCGAGAAGTGCAGCTTCGCCTCTGTATTACACTTCCAATAAGACAATTCCCGATAGACTATAAAATTCAGGTTGGCTCCAATGCGGGTGTGGTGGGCATGACTAAGGAGCACTTGGGACTGGCTCTGGCTCTCAATGTGCCAGTGTTCGTGGTGGTAACCAAAATAGACATGTGTCCAGAAAACGTCCTCAAAGGTAAGAAAAGTTGTTGGATCTCATTGTTATAGTACGATTTCATTTTTAAGACCAATTCGCTTAAAATAGTGCGCACTGTAATTGGCGAGCGTTTTAGTACCATGTGTTTTATCTTCATATTAAAGTTATGTGTGAACTATAAGAGGCAGTTATGGCAGTTGGCTCCGCGACGAAAATGCCTGCTTCATAAGCTTGAGGTTGTTGGATCGAATCGCAGGGGCGGAAAATTTTGATTTATATTCGAAAGCTTATTTTTTTTATCTGGTTTAAAGTTATTTTTCTACCATTTTTGCCGGTGTTAGCATATTGCAGATTCGCCTGGATTTAAAAGTTAAAAAATTTTTAACTTGGATTTTTAAAAAGTTTTTTTTTGTTATGTATGCAAATCTCTGCTTGGGATTGCTTGCCTTGGGTTTTTGCGAAAATCCTTTTTCAGAATATCTTAATCTTCTGACAACGAGGTAGATGCATAATGAGTATATTCTGTTCCCGAAAAGTTGTCCAAGGTGTGCCCATTGTCTAAAAATGTACAGTTGGTGCAAAGAGAGAAAGCGCCGCGATTCCTTGCAAATAACAATTTAAGTATATGTTTTGTTTCAGACACTCTCAAGTTGTTGCAACGTATCCTGAAATCGCAGGGCTGTAGAAAAATCCCCATCTTCATCCAAAACACTAACGATGTAGTGGTAACAGCTACCAACTTCACCTCAGAAAGAGTCTGTCCAATTTTCCAGGTATAGTATAAGAATATTGTTTAGTCTCACAAAAGAGATTAAGAGTGCGAATCCCGGGACATATTCGACAAGACCTCATTTTTGTTCCTACTATACACTCTCCACCCCTTCATATAAAAAGTTTTGTCAAATAAATCTGTTTCCTTCCATTTAATGCAAATATATGGGGGTGATCGCTTTTTTCCTGAGACAAAAGTGTTCTGCTTTCTGATTGGTAGGGTATCATACTGGATATATCCCCCTCCCTCTTCAATCTTAGAGATTCGACCCTTTCGCCACCCAAAGGATCCTCTTTGATATTAATTTGCGAAATCCATTTTGGGTTGACCGACCCTAAAAATTGTCTAGAGGCGCTTTCAGCGCGCGCCAATTTATATTAAATTTGTGAGGGAAGCGCTCTCAAAAATACTTGGCCTGATTTTTGAAAAGAGCTTGTGGCGCAAAAAATTTTTCGGAAAATGATATGAAGTTCAATAAATTAGTTTGTGGACCAAAAAAGCGCAAGAACATCCTTGATCCGCGCCTGATTATATAGGGTATTTTAACGAGGTGAATGTTTTCCGAAAAAAAGGAGGTGTTTTAATACGATTTTTTGAAATGTTTTCATACGCTTTTTCATTCGCTTTTTGAAAATATTTTAAAAACATGTAGTTTTGTGTAAAATGTACTTCCTGCATTTGTTATTTGCTAGATCTCCAATGTGACAGGTCAAAATCTGGACTTGTTGAAGATGTTCCTCAACCTCCTCTCAGCCAGATCTCTGCCGAGAGCCAACGAGCCAGCCGAGTTCCAGATAGACGACATATACTCTGTGCCGGTCAGTCTGTTACAGTATCTGTTGCTTGGTAAATCAGACTTAGAAAGTCGAAAGCTAAGATTTATTCTAAAAAGAAATCAGTATTTTTTCCCTTGCTCTTAATGACTCTTTCCTATTTTTTGTCTGTTGGATATTTTTTGTAACATAAAATGCGTTTTGAAACAAAAGGGAAATGAGTTGAATTTGCACGCTCGAAAATGTGTATAGAATCGATTTGATTTCTTTTTAGGGTGTCGGCACAGTAGTGGCGGGGACCATGCTTAGAGGCACAATATCTCTCAATGACACTCTCCTCCTCGGGCCAGACGCATTTGGCGAATTCAGTCCTGTTCCTATAAAGAGCATTCACAGAAAGAGACTTCCTGTCAAGTTTGTAACTGGCGGTCAAACTGCTTCATTCGCGCTGAAAAAGGTAGATAAACGGTCTCTAAAATCAATTTAAAGTACAAAATTTAGTGTATAATGAATTATTTCTTAAAAAGGGTGAAAACTTTTAATTTAATTATCATTGTGAGGTAGAAATATGACAAGATCCAACAATTAGATAGGCTTTTACTATGCTCAGGAGTGAGCAGTAAATGAGAGTTCTTATGTTTGGGACCAATTTTGATACTGAAATGATCCTAGGTCCTAGGATGGTATATAAACAAGCGGAAGTATGACGATAACATAACTGTTATAAAATACTTTCGAAGATATTTTCTAAGAGTCACGAAATTGAAGCTTCCTTCAAATGACGTATTTTTTGGCGGTTTTTTTCACATTTGATCCTAGTATTCTTAAAAAAGGTTTTTTTTTCAACAATTATGTCGTATGTTGTAGATTAAGCGCAACCAGATCAGAAAAGGCATGGTACTGGTGTCGAATCTGCTGAAGCCTTTCGCCTGCTGGGAGTTCGAGGGGGAGATTCTAGTACTGCACCATCCCACCACCATATCTGTCAAGTACCAAGCTATGGGTTAGTAATACTTGTTTTTAACTTCATATCATAAAACTTAGAAGATCTGAACCTTTTTTTGATTAGTTAGCAGTTGAGAATATAAATAAATAAAAAAGAATTTGATATCTTTTGGTTAATTAACAGTTTAAGAATCCGTTATAATTATTTATTTCATTTCAATAAATGTTCTAGGTTTAGTTAGCCTATCCCATTTAAGTAAAATAACGGCGGTCATGGATTAGTAATATCGAATCACTTCATGTCAAAAAAAGTATATTTGAACCTATATGGTTTTTAAAAAAAGTAGTCGGTTGCTGTGAAAGTATCATATACTATGGCGATAACGGTACTGAAAACTTTATGATAAAAATGAAACTGGAAACCACAGACCCTCCCCAGACAAGTTAAACCCTAGTTTAAAAGTCTTATGGCAGCCTACTTGACTAAATGATCGACCACTATGATAACATTGATAAGGCACAAAGGCTCCAATTGACAAAATACTTCACATAAGCGGCTTCCAATTACATTGAAGCTGTACTCATAAAGCAAATAATTTAGAGAAAAACAAAAATCTGAATTGAATTCTCACTTACAAAAAAAGTATCTTCCAGCCACGCCCAATTAGTGTTCGGCTACTTTCCTTTACTCAAATCCTTCCAACTGTGGACTTCTTCCAAGTGTTACCAAGGGTTGTTCCGAGTGCTTCAAATCCTGACATGATAGCAATCGTGCTGCTGAAATCCTTAAAACTCTTTAACTTTTACACCCCTTACTCTGGTCCGATCCAGTCAAGGACTCTGCCCTCCTCAGGTTGAATCAAATACCTTCAAAAGCATTGATTAAGCTCGTTTCTGATGACCTCTATTGGTCCAACACTTGCCCCTAGCTTCTGTTATGGAACCAGATTTAGTCCCTGCGTGACGTTTTCAGCGGTTACTTAATGGATGTTTGTGGTCCCACCGTCATAGCTCTGTTATACCTTCTCCCCGTCAGACATCTTGATGAATCACCGAAAGAGGAGCAGCAATAAAAGTAGGTGGACCTCTCAGTAACTGGAATTGAAGTCTCGCATCTACCGAATCAGGGGCCACAGTCGCAGTGTGAGTTATGGACGAGACGCTGCAACCAGCAAATTTTCCCTGGAACAAACGAACAACCCTCTGGGCACATAGTCACTGCACTAAGGCGTCCATTTTTTGAGCCATTCAAATTCGTGGCCATTCTGAAACAATGTTTTGCTGATAAGAAGCAAATCAAGCGCTGCACCTTGACGAGGCAACTGCAATGACTAAAGTGTTCTTTCTGCGCATTTTTTTTATTCGCGCTTCATTTTTGAGATTTAGCTGTTTTCATTTCAAAGCTTCCCAACGATTTTTGTAGTCTGAAATCTTTGTGCCACTTGCACAGAACCCAATCTGGTAACCTTGAAGTGGAAATCAAACTTTTGTTTTGGGTGTGTTTTAGTACTTTATTTTTTTTTCGCGTACAATCAGGTACCACATTGGATACCTGATGGGATTGAGTGATGAAATATTTTACAGCCCTTTTATTCCTGATTCAGTCGTTATAAAAGGAAGTTTCAATTTTTTTTATTGTGTCGAGAAAAACCTGAGTGAAGTTTTTGCTCCAATGTTCACTTTGGCCCATTTTATGCTCAAGTTGCTTTTTAATCATTTGGCAATAAAGCTTTTGATAGTATACTAGTAAGATAAAGTTAGAAGAGAAAATCTGAACTGTGTTCGGTACAGCAACCGGCTATCCTTGTTTTTTATCCGTCTGTCTTTGATTTCTCTGTTCGTATTTTTTGTTGCCATAGTTCTTGTTGTTGTTCAGTGCACTGCTGCAGTGTGAGACAGACAGCAGCCATAGTGTGGATGGACAGGGAGGCTCTGAGGACAGGAGACAAGGCCAAGATCCGGTTCAGATTCATAAAACACCCAGAGTATCTCAGAGTGGGCACCCGACTAGTGTTCCGAGAGGGAAGGACAAAGGCTGTCGGTGAGTTCAGTAGCGTCAGTGGGTCTCTTTACTAAGACGACCCAAAATAATGGCAAAAAGCTGTTTTTTTTTAAAAAAAAGCTTCAAAAACGTTTGAAACGTCTTTTTCTTTGTATTACATATGTTTCGAAATATTTACTCTAAACTAGATAAGTTGGAAGAAATTTTCTTTTATTTTCATGTGATCTCCAGCAAAAACTTAAAATGTTCGAACCATAAAATATTAATTTTAGTTGTTTTGATTAAACGGAAGCTAAATATGTTTTGATTTTATACTAGTTAGCCTAATTGTTGTGATAAACTTATTAAATAGTTTCAGACGAAATGAACTAAGATTAGTACGATTTGCTTCGCGTTCTCTTACGACATCACATCGCTGTATTCACATGGCAGAAATGGCATTATTGCGTGCACACCTAGAGAATGCCAATTTATCAAACCCAGAAGAAGTGAAAGGATTATTCGAAAGCTTTATTCACCGAATGGAGACATTGGACAATACTATCGAGCATCTCAAGTATGAAAATTCTCAACTGCGCAAGGACAATGTAATTATTCAAAACCGTGTACTTTGCTCTGAACGATATTTATCACGATCATGTTTGACATTTCTTGGCGTGAAATCCGGCGTGGATCCGATGGTACCAGTACTTGATATTATGAATCGTGTTCTAGGAGCTAAAGTGTCACCCGAAGATTTGGCTGCATGTCACTATTTACCGGGTAATGCAGAGAAAAAACCAATTATTGTTAAATTTATTTACAATGGGCAGCGTGACTATGTATGGCGAAACAGATTTACGTTAACGGACAATGAATCGACGAAGAATATTTTCATCGTTGAGAGGCTTCCAGAAATTGACCGAGATACAGTGAATTATGCAAAAGAGAATGGTTTGAAATTTAAAACAAACAATTGTCAACCACTTCTCAGAATAAATAATAAATGGGTTCCAGTTAACAGTCGCGGTGAGATTGACAAAGTTGCCAGCGGATTTTCGGAAGAATTAGATGGTAACAAAATGGATACAGGAATTCAGGGAAATACACAGATAATCGACGAGTCTTCTTATTCCAGAAATGAGTTATTCCAAATGAAACATGGTACTGCGAAAAACAAATATGCAATGTATGGAAAACCTAGAGGGGAGAAGAGGCAACGAGAGAACGTTGATATGGAAGATAAACTGGACAAATTGTGTGGTCTAATTGAAAATGTAATCGCAGTGGTAAGCTCACCACCTGGAAAAATGGCAAAAGCGCCGGTCAATGTGATAGAGCAGGAGGACGCGGGTGAGATCGAACCTACTGATACTTAGCATTTTTAAAAACCTAATCGATGACTTTGCCAGCTGATAAAACACTTCTTTTTCTAAATATAAGATCCTTGCGATGCAATTTTGACAATTTAGTGGGATTTATTGAAACTTATAACGAAAACCTATCGATTATCTGCCTTTCGGAAACTTGGCTAACTGAAACAGACCCATTGGCAATGTACAATATTCCGGGATTTCAACCGATAGTTTCTAGATGTAGAACCAATAAAAGGGGAGGGGGTGTTGCTTTTTATGTTAAGACTGGCATTGACTTTATTATAAATGAAAATATTGTTTGCGAAAATGGGATTGAGGCATTGTGTATTAGACTTAAAAATGGATCTCTATCTTCAACAAACATTTGCGTATTTTATCGTCCGCCCAATATAAATATCGATCATTTTTATAGTTTTCTGTAACGTAACTTAGAAACGATGGTAAATTCAAAAACAATGTTCGTTGGGGATTCTAATATTGATACACTGGTTGAAAATAGTTGCTCAAAAGGGTTGAAAAATTTAACTAAAAGTTACAATTTTGTTATAAATAACGCCAACGAAGCAACGCGCGTTACTAACAGTAGTAGTACTTGCATTGATCATATAATTTCAAATTTTCCTGTTGCAACACATAATGTAATTTCTGGTATTAGTGATCACAATATTATCTTCGACGATATTAACGTGGTTTCAAACATAGATAATAACTTGACTTTTCGTAATCTGTCTTTTCTAAAAAAATCAACCGAAAAAATATTGTTTTTAGCAGATGTGAACTACCTGTTGAAAAATGTACCGGAAGGAACATGTGATGAAAAAGTTGAGTTTCTGATTAAAACAATTATCGATTGCCTAGATGTATTCGCTCCATTAAAAGTATATGGTAAAAAACGAAAAATGAAATCACAATGGATAACTCCAGAAATTAGAAAACTAATTTTTAAACGAGATAGACTTCTTCGCCAACTACAGGCCTGCTGGTCGACTGATACGCATGTCAATTATAAAATCATTCGCAATAAAGTAAACGCCTTGCTGCGATTAGAGAAACGGAACTTTTATACTAAAAAAGTGGAAAAGGTGACTAACAGTAAAGATTTATTTAAGATTTTTAAAAATGTAGGAATAGGAAAGACCGGGAATAACACAACGACACATATTGATGCGAATAAATTGAATACTTTTTTCTGTAACATTGGGTCGAAAATTGCATCGCAAATACCTTACTCATCAGTACCGATATGTAGATCGCCAAAACAAGTGCAATCAATGGTAATGTTTGAAACTAACCACAGAGAAGTTCTAGATGTTATCAATAGCCTTAAAAGTAAGTTCTCATGTGGACCTGATGATATTTGCAATGAAATCATCAGGCAGTTAGGAGTGGTAATTGCACCATTAATATCCGATATTTTTAACGAATGCATTCACCTTGATGTTTTCCCAGACTTACTGAAAATTGCCAAAATGGTCCCTATGTTCAAAGATGGAGATAAAACAGATCCTGGTAATTACAGACCAATTTCGCTGTTGTCTTGCCTGAGCAAAGTCGTTGAGAAACTTATACATTCGAGGTTCATAAATTTTTTTGAGAAATTTTCTATTTTAAACATGAACCAATATGGTTTTCGATCTAAGCGATCTACGATTCAGGCTGTTGCGAGGCTGACCGAATTTGTGAGAGATGCTACTAATAAAAGAGCGGATGCAATTGCTTTGTTTTTGGATCTCAAGAAAGCTTTTGACACGATTGATCACAAAATTCTGATGCAAAAATTGGATCATTATGGGATCAGGGGTAAAAGTAACAATTTGATTAGAGCCTACTTGACTAATAGAAAGCAGTATGTTGAAATTGGAAATAATAGATCAACGCTTGAAAATGTTTCAACGGGAGTTCCACAAGGATCTGTTCTAGGTCCGCTTCTGTTTTTGATTTACATAAATGATTTACCTGATAGCACTAGTTTAGATACTACAGTTTTTGCAGATGATACATCCATCATGACTTCTGGTAAGAATTCTGGAAAGAAATTAAGAACCGAATTTGACATAGTTTACAATTACTTATGTTGCAATAAACTTTCACTGAATACTGATAAAACTGTTCTGCTCAATTTCAGCAAGAAAATGGAGAAATTGGTCTTGATATAAAAGGTGAATGCATAAAAATGGTTGATTGCACGAAGTATTTGGGTATATACATTGATTCAAAGTTAGACTTCAAGATGCATATTGAACATGTTATTAAGAAATTGTCTAAACTGTGTGGAGTAATATATCGTTCCAGAAAATTATTTAATATTCCAATGCTTCTACTGATATACAGATCCTACATCAAACCTGTTCTTCAATATGGCGTATTGGTTTATGGCTGTGCAAACTTAACAGATCTAAATAAAATTTTAGTAATACAGAAGAGAATAATACGTGCTATTTTTAGAATTGATTATAGAGAGAGCACAGTTGAAAAGTACAGACTGCATAAAATTGAAACGATGTTTGATCTTCACGTTTACGAACTGTTTAAAGATATTTGCGACAATAATGTTTGTGATAGTACCACGACTAATAACGTGGCGTACTTCACTAGGAGAGTTGCTTCTGGAAAAGTTAATAGTAAAATACAAAGAACGAAATGTTTTCAAAATTCCATAAATGTTAGAAGAATCATTATTCATAATTATATAACTGCATCTGGTTTATTGAATGAAGATGTGACAAGTTTGCAGAGACATCAACTCAAGATTTTTATACACGATGTTTTTGATAATTATCTGCTTGATAATAAGGAAGTTCATAAACAGCTGTATTGTCATTGATATTTGAGTTTAAGGTTGTCTACTAGATAAGCCGTAGGCTTTTTAGACAATCCTTGTTGATGATTGTAAATATACATATTGTATTGTAATAATCATCAACTGAATTAAATATTATTTTGAGCTACAATTTGATTTTGCGTTTAATTTTTAGAAATTTTTCAACGCGTAAAAATCATTCAATTCTTAGTTTTTTTCAAAATAAATCTGTGAGACATTAATTGGGATATATGAGCTGCAATCCTTATCCGAAGTAAAATTTACGGTTTTGTTTTTTAGTTTAGTTTTGATTTTCACTTTAATTTTGATTTTAAATGTGTGTTTGTAGGTTCTATAACTAAAGTGTACCACCCCTCTGAGACGCCACAGAAGCCCAACTACAGGAACAGATATGCTCCCAAATGCAACACCAACAACAGCTCAGCCAGCAATGAGGGGACATCCAGTCAGGGTCAGGGAAACAGGTAAATGTAATTTATTTTACTAGTTTGTAAAATGCTTTTTTTTCAGCGACGTCTTACCTATCAGGCTTCATTTGTTAAGAGTAATGAACGCAGTGAAGACTCTTATATAGGTCTTGGTGATTTTTTTCAGATATCTTAAAAGTCTCTGATAACTACAGATGTGCATTCTTACATATTAATGCTTTTATATGTGCACTTTTTAAGTTCACTTCAAATTCATCTGTTAAATGTTAGTTAAATTGCTCTCTCCAAATACGAACGTGGAAATCAAAAACGTAAGCGGCTTCTAGATACGAAGTGGATTTAAAATTTTAGATTTCCCTCCGGAATAAAAATTTTACCTAGTAATCCAGTTTTCTCAAATTGAGTTAATTTTATCAAAAAGTGTCAAAATCATCTTGAAATTCAAAGATGGTTGAGGCCATATGTTTTTAACTTTGAAATTCGAAAGTTGAAGTTTTTCCAAAAATAATTTAGTTTTTTTGTTTCCTTGCGTTCATTGCTCTTTTCCAACTGCCAGTTGGCTATTTTTTTTTTTTTTGCGCTTAAGGCTCCTTTTTAGTGATTCAGCCAGATTTGACATGTAAAAACAGTATGAAGGGAAAAATGACTAAGTATAAGCGTTATAAGAGATTTTAATAGATTTATTGAATAATCATTTACTAGGTACGGGCGACGAAGGGGTGGAGCAAGACAGAGGCGGCCACCGACTATGGGGGCCAACTTTCAAAACACCCAACAAACATCCAGTCAAAACCAGGAACATAACAACTACGGAAACAACAACACTAACAGTAGACAACAAGCGCCATCCACGACAACAAATGTTAACAATGCATCCCAACCGACAACAACGACAATATCTACAACAACAACAACAACAGGGAAAACATGAAAAAAACATGCTGAACGGAAAAACTGAAGTTGTTTCCAAAACAAACACACCAAACTCTTTTATTGTAGCTGGTATAGAATTATGAAACTTCGTGGTAGTTTTTCTTGAGCAAACTTGTTAAAATATATATTTTTTGCAAAATGGTTGAGGTTTTGAATGAGGATTCTGTTGGAAAGTTGCAAGTTTTTTAAATACTATCATGAATTGAAATAGCAGATAATTTCTCTGAACCGTTTCTGTTGTTGTTTTTAGCTGCGATGTGTTTTGGTTTTACTGCTTGTCAAAACTACAATTCAGTTTTATAATTGTTTAATCTCACTTATCTAAATACAATTTAGTTGTCTTGTTGATTTTTGCCATTTTCCATCAGCTGTTTTCTTGAAACAAGTTTCTGAAAAGTTAAGATAAAAAATAGTAATCCGTAGAAAGCAAATCTTGGAATTTGATTCTATCTTTTCTGCTCTTCGCGGAGAGCCGCTGCTGTCGCTCACTTCGAGGGTGTCTTACAATTTAATGACATACAATTTAACACCGTACATTTTAACACTTAGTCATTTCACTACAAAACAATTTAAATCGACAACAATATAACTCCTATTTTCCAGTTTAACACAGTACATTTTAACACCTAGTCATTTCACTATTAAAATTAATGATGTATGAATTCCTGGTCTTAACTCTTATCACACCAAAGTTAATCCTGCAATTAGCAAACGCACCATAATGAAAAGACGTTTCCTTGCAGACTCCTGGAAACGTAACAAAACTCAAGAACATGACTCGTGCCTTAGCAATTTAACCCCAGGACAATCGACCTAATTTTCGGGATAATAGGTTGGGACTACGGGCTGGCAAACACTTTAGCTTTGCGTTTATGTGCCTACAATTCAAAAAATTGCTGACAAAGCGATCAGGTCATAAGTTTAAGTTCGAGAATGATTCCAAAAAATAATGATTTGAAGGCTTTTGGCATTGATTAAACCTTTTTTAAACTTCTATACCGGCTGAAAATGTCTAGAAAATTAGGCCATATTAGTCAAAGGACATCTAATTATTTGCGGGCTTTTGAAGTTCAATGATTTATTGCTTGTTTTTGGTTCATTTTGGAATGATTCATTGAAAATATTGGCAAGGCCATTTCATTTTGGATTGAAACGTTTCATTGAAATCATTTGCAAGGTTATTTCTCTTCAAAACTTATGCAAATTAAGTAGCGCGAATTTGTCTGGCTTTAAATGGCAAAAATTTCTCTCGTTTAACTCTTTGATGGTTACCGAAATCCCCTTTGAAGTAAGCTTTCTTTTCATTTTGGATTAAAACGGTGTTAAGTCATAGAAATTGTTGTAAATGTAGCCATGTTAAATTGCTAAGGCAACAAAAAGTAGGGAGTGAAATTGTAGGGGGTTAAGTTGTTCAGAGTTAAAAAGGGGGGAATCCAGTTCGAGAACCCAATGCAATTTAAATTCATTTCTTTTTCGGAGTGGAGGAAGTTGCTTTGCCCTCAGGCATCGAGCACGAGTCATGGTATGTATCGAAACACCAACAATTTGACTGGGAGTTGAAGACTTGATTGCACTGACCATTATGTTAGGACCATTTATTACACCGAAGACTTTAGTCAAGGTGTTATGGTATCGTGTAACGGGTTTTTTTTTTTAATGTTGTCTGTTGTCAAGTGTCGACAAATAACGTCCAAAGTTATCAATTATCATGCGGGCTGGACTATATCGCGCTATGTCACGTGATTGCGTATGTTTGTTTCTTTATTTGTTCATCTTTATTTATTTAATTATCTGTTCTTCTATTTATTTAATTATGTTTAGTTTGCTTATATTTATTTATAATTTATGTATGTACATATTTATTTTTGTTTATTTTTATCACGTGTTTTGTTTATTTATTTAATTATTCTTTCTTTCATTTAGTTTTGCTTTTATTATTTCTGCGTGTGTATTTATTTAATTTATTTATTTTCATTTATTTATATTATGGGTCTGTTTGTTTGGTTATTTGTTCATATATTTTTTTTTCATGTCTATTTAATTATTTGTACATTTCACTTTTGCTTTTATTTATTTATTTATTTATTTATTTATTTATGTATTTATTTATTTATTTATGTATTGATTTATTTTTTTATTGCTTATTTATTTATCAGGTGTGTTTTGTTTATTTGTTGATATTTATTTCTATATCAGTTGGCAGTTATACCAAAGTCAGTGGAACGTCGTCTGTACAGCATTTATGGCAAAACTTTGAAAATCCCAATTTGGTGCGTGCAGTATTCTTCTTACACATATATATCCTTTATTGAGGTGGGAATAGATATTTATGTTTAGCCCATTGTTTAGATCACTGATTTTTCAAATATGGATGCACTTGTCGACAGGGAAGTTGCTTTTGACTGCGTAATTATAAGCAGAAAAGTAGAGCATCTCCCTAATCACGAGTTGAATGAATTGCAAGTTGCCACCAAGACTGGTGAAAGGGTGACTGTCAATGTCTGGGACCCTATACATGACATCCACACGCCGTCAACCATTGTCACAGTAGACGGTCGCGTGAAACTGTTCAACGAAGAACCTGTCGTTAACGTGAGTTCTTGCTAAATCAACTTTTTATATATTTTGCATATGTTTTCTGATATTCAATTCAGGCTCTTTCGATTGTCCCAACAATGGACTCCAATGGCGAATTCGAAAAGGTGAAAGAAACACTTGCCGATGATGCGGTCTCTTGTGTTACCGAAGTTGTCCAAGTTGTGTCGTGGGGCATTCAACAATCGAACCACGACACCTGCTCCTCGTGCAACATCAAAAATGTTGAAGTCATTGAACTTAGCAAGGTGTGTAATTCAGACAATGCTTTTGTATTGCATTGAAAACTATTGTATCGTTGTTGAATAAAAACTGAAATCATTTTAGGTTGCAGGGAAAAGTTCTGAAGTGCAAGAATCCGGCATGTGGACTTGTCAGTCGGGCACCAACGCCAAAAGATGTTGCACACGTTGTTATTAGTGACAAACGCCGGTTTCTGATAGATTTAAATCTTTTTCCCGCTCCATGCACAAACGAAGTAAGCCTGTCTGAGTTCTTTCTCGAGAACCCGTCCATTACGCTCGAGTTCACCCAAGGCGTTGTATCACGTTTACACACCGCCTATTAGTAGTACGCTTAAGACTGCTTTACACTTTCTGGATGTCTAGTTGTAGACAAATTTTTGTTAGGTCTCTCAAATGTACTCAAATCGTTCAAATGTACCTTGTTATATTTTTGATTGACTAGCAGTAGATGAGTTCTTTGTGATAATTTTCTTTGAATCTTTTTTGAAATTTACCATTACTGCATTTTATTCATTCTCTTAGAGGGTCACAGTTGACAATGCAGGTCACGTCGAAGAGTACGAGCATTTTGGACTACGTGTTTTAAGAATTTACAATCTGTTTTAATGTACGACCAATAAATTTTACACCTTAATTCTTAAAAAAAAACATTTTCAATTCTTCCCTTGCCATTCTGAACAGGTGGTTACAAAGTTTTAGCTAGTCACTGTATGATTTTCTGCCAGCAGCTCAACTGGTCTGTGTATACTTGTATTAGGTACACAGTTTTTTTTCAACTGCTGTGTATACTTGTATTAGGTACACTGTAGTTTCAATCAATTGATCTGTGTATACTTGTATTAGGTACACAGTTATTCTATTTCAACTTTTGTGTATACGTGTATTAGGTACACTGTAGTTTCAATCAACTGGTCTGTGTATACTTGTATTAGGTACAGTTTTTTTTCAACTGCTGTGTATACTTGTATTAGGTACACTGTAGTTTCAATCAACTGATCTGTGTATACTTGTATTAGGTACACAGTTATTCTATTTCAACTTTTGTGTATACTTGTATTAGGTACACTGTAGTTTCAATCAACTGGTCTGTGTATACTTGTATTAGGTACAGTTTTTTTTCAACTGCTGTGTATACTTGTATTAGGTACACTGTAGTTTCAATCAACTGATCTGTGTATACTTGTATTAGGTACACAATTATTCTATTTCAACTTTTGTGTATACTTGTCTTAGGTACACTGTAGTTTCAATCAACTGGTCTGTGTATACTTGTATTAGGTACACAGTTTTTTTTCAACTGCTGTGTATACTTGTATTAGGTACACTGTAGTTTCAATCAATTGATCTGTGTATACTTGTATTAGGTACACAGTTATTCTATTTCAACTTTTGTGTATACTTGTATTAGGTACACTGTAGTTTCAATCAACTGGTCTGTGTATACTTGTATTAGGTACAGTTTTTTTTCAACTGCTGTGTATACTTGTATTAGGTACACTGTAGTTTCAATCAACTGATCTGTGTATACTTGTATTAGGTACACAGTTATTCTATTTCAACTTTTGTGTATACTTGTTTTAGGTACACTGTAGTTTCAATCAACTGGTCTGTGTATACTTGTATTAGGTACAGTTTTTTTTCAACTGCTGTGTATACTTGTATTAGGTACACTGTAGTTTCAATCAACTGATCTGTGTATACTTGTATTAGGTACACAATTTTTCTATTTCAACTGCTGTGTATACTTGTATTAGGTACACTGTAGTTTCAATCAACTGGTCTGTGTATACTTGTATTAGGTACACAGTTTTTTTTCAACTGCTGTGTATACTTGTATTAGGTACACTGTAGTTTCAATCAACTGGTCTGTGTATACTTGTATTAGGTACACAGTTTTTCATTTCAACTGCTGTGTATACTTGTATTAGGTACACTGTAGTTTCAATCAACTGATCGTGTATACTTGTATTAGGTACACAGTTTCTTTAGTTTAACTGATCTGTGTACACTTGTAATAGGTACACTGTAGTTTCAATTAACTGGTCTGTGTATACTTGTATTAGGTGTAAAACAGGAGGCGTTTTGCTACACATACAAACACAATCTTTTGTATTTTAATATAGCTATAGAAATTGATCTACAATGCGTAAGTACGACATTTAGTTCTACGATTGTTATTTCAGGTCTTTTGTCAATATTTCAGGCTCTTTGTCAATATAGCAAAATTTTGGTGTATATATGTCTTAGTAAGATTTTTAGTTCTACAACGTTTATTCAGGCTCTTTGTCGATATAGCAAAATATTGGTGTATACATGTGTTAGTACGATTTTAGCTCTAGAATTGTTATTTCAGGCTCTTCGTCAATATAGCAATATTTTAGCGTTTACATGTGTTAGTACCATTTTTAGTTCTCGAACTGTTATTTTATGATCTATGTCAATATATCAAAATTTTAGTGTATACATGTGTTATTACGATTTTTAGTTCTCGAACTGTTATTTCA